TGCACAAGGACAAGTAGATATATTCAAACAAAATTACGACAAATATAGTCAACAAGTTATCAATCAAGTTATTTTTTAGTGATCTTGTTATCGCTGGTAATTTGTCAAAAAGACGATCGATAAGTAACTTAATAATTTTAGTTTAATAATTTTTTAACGGCATTTATATATATGTATATACCTTTACATAAAAAAACAAACGTATACAATCAATGAAAAAAATTACATACGTGATACATTTTTTTTTATCGAACAAGCAGCTTTTAAAGACAATTAACAAGTTTATTTTTTAACTCATTGTGAGACATACAATCCGTTTAATCTAGTTTAGTGTTCAATTCAACAATAAATTAATTAACAATCAGGGTTGTATTTTCCATTACTTAAATAAATTGAAATGAAAATAAATTATTAACAATTAAATCAATATCTCAAATGAACAACTCAATAATGTCACACTCTGAAGCTTACATTTTCTCAAAGTGAAATAATTAAAATACAAAAAATCCTAAGAGTAAACTCTCTCAAACTTTCCAGTCTAAACTTTCATAGTTTAGGTTTTTTTCAACAAAAGATTTACCCAAGAGACTAATTTATTTGGATTTTCATAACACGAAACTTGCTAGCTAACTACCTAATTGAATCTATTAAATTTTCTGACGTTAATCAGCCGAAATTCTTGGTTGGTTTATACCGATATTAGTAAAGCTTTGCTTTACCCTTTTTTTCAAACAAATGTAATACAATTGGAATTTTGAAAATTTGATTATTAACTGTGTAAATAGCATGACACTATCGCATGCTGAAGCCAATGTCAGTTCCAACATCCTTTTCGGATGAAGTTGCTGATGAAATGATGAATGTTTTATCGCTTTGGATGAAATTATTAAATTGCTGTGCTTTGTTGGACCAGTTCCAGTACGGGCATCACAATTTCATTTTTTGACTGACGTTCCTTTCAGTTATAAATAATTTTTCAATATCAAAAGCACCGGAATTATGCGACAAATAATTCAACCTTATTTCCGAAGTAACATATTTAAAGCTATTCTGGAAGTCACATGCCATTGCAGAAATAATTCTTGTCAATAATAAGTGTATTTTAATTTTTTACTTAATAATTCTTTCTTTGACAAAACAAAGTCAGTGGATATTTCAAAGAAATTAATTTTAGATTAATGCTAAGTAACTTTGTGTTTTTTTTTTTGGCGAGAAAGGGTCGAGTAGGGTCGAATCATTCGAACCACAGATCGGGTTAGAGTGAACTACGGGTCATGAAACAGGAATCGAGTCAAAAATGCGATATATATCACATTGAAGAAAAAATATCTGAATTTTAACAAAGTGTTTCAGTACCTACGTTTTTAATTAGTAAAATAATTTTCAAGTTGAAATAAATTTTCCCAGTACACACTATTTTGTGTTAATTATGAAAAGTTTCTGGCATAAAAGCCGTGACAAACGAGAACATGAGCGTATGGCCAAAGAAAAATTGAGCTCCCCGAGAGAGACATAATCCTTTCAAGCAGACGTTTGCTGTGTAATTAGCTGTGAATAATTTCGTAATTGAAGCTTACATTATTCAGAATCCTTATTTATTCGAACGTAGCAAACCGAATATTTTTGTCTTTAAAAAAAAACTGCCTTAGTGCTTTAGTGCTGATAATAATCACAAATACGATAATTAATTCAGAAGTTGTCGATCGTGGTTTTCGGTTGTGCAGCCCCAAAGATCGATAGATTAAAAGTAGCGTGACCGGGAGGCATATACATAGAAAATATCACTGCAGAAATGAAATTTTCTTGTCTTTAATTTAGGCCCCCTTAAATATCAAACAAGGCAATAAAGCACAATTTTGCCTATACACCCGTCGTCGGCGTTCATTTTTCCTGCATGTTATGCATAGGTGGCGGCTTAGCCGCCGTCCCCGTTCACCACAGCTCCCGGTCCAATGATTTCAATCCATATTACTTCCGCAAAGTGGAAGCATTCTCGGGATTTTATGATTGCGCACAATATTAGCTATTTGTTATTTTCACAGCCGGTTTAAATCTACAAATGTCAGATTCAATCGCCCGGTTTAAATCGAATGATGCAGTCGCGTATGCTCTACAATATGCACTCGGATCTGATTGGAATGGAAAAAAAAACAATGACGTTGCCATTTCGGTTTGGATATTGGCAGTAATGAGCAGAAAGATTCAAACTGACCTGACTGAGAAATAAAATCAATGTAAAGTCAGCGTATTCGCGTGAGTTGCCGGAATAAAATACAAATTTCACCAGATTGTATGTATGTATAGAGCGCTATAAATAAAAATGTGAAGTTTATGAACTCTTCGAGGCGCACAGAATAGAGCTATTTCGCGCAAAGTGCATCTAATTAACAGCTTGTTGCTATAAAACTATTTTGTAGATTTCTGTAACGCAATCAACATACTACAGCTTTTACATGACCTTTAACAATTACAAAACCTATTTGAAACAAGCAACGCAAAGAGATAGTACTTTTTGATTTTAATTTAAACCAAATGCATGTGTTCTCAATCTCAAGCATCAGCAAACACAACTTCAAAATAAATAGCAGAAATTTCGTATATTGCCATCAAATGAGGTTAGTTTTTGAATGCAATTTAATTACCAGTTTATCAGTCAAAATTTATCTATTTCTGTATTAAATTTCTGGGCGGAACGTAATTATAGTGTCATCAAAGCTTTGGTTTAAAATTAATTGTAGTAAATAAACATTGAAGCAGCTTTGCCATTATTTGCAGTGACTCCAGCAACAAAAAACAAATGTTTCTTTTACTTCTAACTCAAAGCCAGTAAATTCAAACATTAACTTTGCCTGAATCGGCATAAAAACGAAATAACTGGTTCTTCCAAGCAGATTAATTATAAATTACAAACTCTGACGAATTCTTGACTTAATGAGATGACTGAAGAAAATCCATCACAAAATTCGGGTCAATTAACTTCGAAACGACTTTACTTGAGTTTTTATTCGGAAAAATGGTGGGTTTTATATGGTAGGTTGTGCATGTAAAAGGCAAGTTTTCCGTTTTTAACATTCGGTTTCTTTTTCCAAGATAGGTAGTAAAGCGTTGAGATCGCACGTATTTGCTTTATGACACCTGTTTGCTACCATCGAGACTGTCTACAAGTGCACTCTTTTTTACAGTTACTTCAAAATGTCTTGGCAAAAATACACTTTTATGTTACCTCTGTTTTTATTTTAAATAAAATTCAATAAATTAATACTGAATTGAAGTTCGTCTTTATTGCCTCAAGAAAGTTGAAATGGGCAAATTAAATACATAACGACAAATATACTTGCAATATGCTACCTACACAACACAAATACTTATCGTACGTAATAAAAACGCAGGGCAAATGAAAATAAATTTAATAAGAGGTCTTGCACTAGAAGTTCATGACGTAGGACTATCACTTAATATAATCAGGATAGAGTATAAGATCAGAGAAGAGCTTGGAGACTGTGAGTGTATTCAATCACTTAAGAGAAGTCTCTCAGGGTCCGCTGTGGAAGATCCAAAGACTGATAATGATAAATACCTCAAGGAAAGAACAGCAGGACAAACATTCAATTATACTTTGTCATTTATTCAGGATTTTTCTTTGGGATTTGCTTTCAGTGTTCGAATTACCACTCTAAAGCAAACTAAAAGTAGGCAATTAGATTTTTTCAGATGCGAACACAACTTGTATTTACTGAGCCATTAAGCTTTGATTTACATGCCAACATTTTAATAATAAAAAAGTGAATTTACAGGTTTTATTTAGAAATGAATAATAAATACGAGTAATTTATGTAATATTCTCCAAACTGATAATAAGTAAAGGTCTACGGGAAATGAAATTAAGAAACATTTATCACAACATATTGAGCATATTTTTTCGTTTTTATTTGTGAATATTCTAGTGATGATTCAATAAAGCCAGGAAATAATAACAATTTAAAGAGGATTGGTAAGTTTATGTTTGTCCAAAGAGTAAATATTTGAAGAGCAACAAAAAGTGACCCAGACACGATCAATAAAATTGAATCTAAAGGTTTAGATCCTGAATGACCCACATGTAAAATATTCATATTTTCTTATTATATTCTATTTGGAGATACTAAAGTGACAATTTATTATAAATAAAAATTTTATTGTAGTACAAAATAGTATTTTTCTATTCGCATATTTAAATTTATTATGGAATTAAAATAAGTAGGTCAAAATAATCGGATTTATGTGATTTATATGAAATTAAACGAGTGCGTGCTAATTATAAATTGATTCGTTTTTAACTGAATACAAATTACAATTTCCATAATTAAACTTAATTCTAATATTACTATCACTACGCAACATAAGTAAGAATTAATCTTCAACGAAAATATCTTCTATCCATGAGATTATTAGTTTTACCTGCAGTACTGCCATCATCTGTACCGGAACATTAATTATAGCCTTAATTACATTTCCCTCCGAACTGTTAAAGACGATTAGGTACAGCATTTGCAGCATGATAGTCTCGTAAGTTTCGGTTAAAATTCATCACTGAAACAATATTAGAATTTAAACTAACGCCCTATGTAATAATTACAAGAAAACTTATAACCACAAGTTTATTTCCGCGATCGAAGAAATATTTACAAATTATGTGCAACTAAGTCAAGCAAGGAACATTGCAAAACTAGCAACTTTTTAGCTTTGTTCATAACGTACTCACTATTAGAATACGTGACGGGGTGAAAGTCGCCGGGCTTTGGACCGGAAGTCCTGTGGAGCTTTGTTCGTTCGCTAATCTGTGTCGCTCTGGTTCGCTCGCAGCCAGTCATTAACACACTCCATTAAATTACTGCACCCGGGAAATAAACCGGTGGTGTTATTAAGAACACAGTGGATGCATATTTCATTACATTTTGAATTATTACTTACGTTTTGCAAGCATGAATTTGGAAAATTAAAAAAATCTTCTTTTTTTCTAGAAAATCCCAAGTTTAGTGCACCCATCACTAACGTCACTGTACCAGTTGGCAGAGAAGCAATTCTAGCTTGTCTTGTCGAAGATTTGGGAGGATATAAGGTATTTATTTTTATTTTATAATCTAAGTGTATTAATATTAAACAAATTGTTTCTTGATAATGTGCTTAAGTTTTAGGTCATTTAGTGATGTTTTACCTATTTCACATTTTTATTTATATTTAGAAAAAAAAATAATCAAAAAAGGGCATTACCTGCATTAAGCTACTGAAGCTATTTAATTTATAATTCAAATAGTATTTGCTTTATTTTTTAAAGAATAATATTTTCTAGCATAAAGTAGCGTACCTAATTAAAACCATAAAACAGTTTGTGTAATTTAAAACAGCTCACTGTTTGGCTAAAGAAATAAGCTTTAAGTTTATTTTCTATGAAAGTCATGATGATTTGAATCTTATTTTACCAGTGTTTCCATTTTTCCACAAACTGTAGACTTGCATCTTATGTAAATTGTGGCTAAAATTGGGGTCAATCCAGTGCAGTTTATGTCAATTGCAAAAGATTAAATTAATTCTCACGTGTTTGGGCAAAATTCAAATTAAGTACTTATAACACCCGTTGAAACTGATCGTATCAAGCACAACAGTACTATTAAAATAATTTTATACTAAAAATAAATCTTATCGATCTGTTAATTATAAAGTTCAACACGAGCACCTTTTTTAAGATCGAGAAATGGCTTTTTAAACGATTTCTTCAGAGATTTGCATTTGAGATTACGCTAACGATATTCCGCAATTATAAATCCCATGTAGTTATTTTGGGATGACCTTGTGACATCGCCTAGGCTGACATGAAAAGTGGTGTTTAGTTGAATAAGCTTACTGACCGCCTTTCATATTACTCGTAAGCTCATTTCACTGTCAAAAATAATATGCGGCCTCAATTTATCGTTTTTTTCAAAGAGATTTAACTTGTGAAACATAACCAGAACGGTTTCACATAAATTATACTGGTTTTAATAAATATTGTCTTTTTAAAATTAGTAGGTAAATGACAACATGTTTTCAATAATTTAATATTTATCTGTTGCAAATCATGTAATCATTATCCTTTTTAAAGCCGAAACTAACACAAAGGCAATTATTTATTAAACCAACTATGCAGGGTGTCAATTTTAAAACTAGCAATCGGCAATAACTCTAGAATTGAACAAGTTATTGAGAATCACTCAAAACCGTTTTGGTGGTTCCTAGGGGGAATCAAAATGACATGGTAAATGACGCACCACCACCTACCCTTGAAACTACAGCCACCCCAACTTGAAAATTTTAAATGTCATCACCCTACATGTGATACATCGTTGGAAAGCTCATAACAAGTGCTTTTCAAAAATGTCATACAACAGCCTATTTGATAAAGCCGCTTTTCCAATTAGTCAAAAACGAAGATTTTAAATTTTCATTTTTTTTATTATATTCAAGGGTGGGTGGAGGTGTGTCACTTACCATGTCATTTTGATTCTTCCTAGGAACCACAACAACGGTTTTGAGTGATTCTCTTTAACTGTATAGAAAAGCGATGAAATGGTAAAGCAGGTAATCAAAATTTTTTGTAAAAGGCGTGAAATATTAATACTCCTTTACTATTTTTATTTCGAAATACAGTTTTAGTGTACAAAAAGACGTCACTTGAGGATGATCACTTTTTGGTTGAAACGCGTTGTGTTTGAAATAAAAGTTTGGTGTGACGGGTTTAATCGTGTTTTTGTTCATCGTTTCCATACCAAGAGGATCCAATAAGAAGTAGTTTTAATGTGTTTTAATACTCGTATTATGAAAAACGCCCCAAGCCATTACTCCATTATTTTTAAAGTTATGACAATACTTTTTAGAACAAAGTTGAACATTTTTTGTCAACTTTCGTTTGGGACTAAATTAATGCTGTTTTCTGTTTCACCGGAAATGACATCAACTTATTTTTTTTTTAAATAGAACACCCTGTATATTTTACCACTTTTGGATTTCTTGTTTAATTGTCTTTTAACAAGTTTTAGGACCATATGCCTAAAACTAACCGTTTGTGAGATATGCGTCAATTAAAAATTTATTAAAGTAGGCAGTGGAAAACAATAATACCAAGTAATGTGGACAAATATAAGTATTTTGCATTTTCTCATACTGTTTTTATACTTTTTGGTGTTAATCAGGGCTGATAATGTGTTAACAGACACGATTCAAGAATATTTCGAATGAAGTAAAAATTGTGGGATGGGAGAGCACTACGCTATACACTGGGTGATTTCTGATAAGAGACGTTCCAAATGGTCGAAAATTTAAGCGACTTAAAGAAAATTTGAGTATGTTTTGGGCTTTTAGAAAACCCAAATTAGAACATGACCAATTTCAAAGAGATACAGAATTAGATGGTTGTTGAAGAAAATGCAAGAACATGAACTCAAGAAATTTCAAGTAACGTTGGTTTATGACACGCGACTGTTCTAATTAGGGTTTTATAAAAAACCCAAACATCCTCACATTGGAACTTCTATTGGAAACCGCCCAGTGTAAAGACGTTGTGGTCTCCAACTATTTTTATTGCATTTAAAATATTCTTGAATCATCTCTGTTAACATATTATCAGCCATGATTAACACCAAAAAGTATAAAAATAGTAAGAGAAAATGCAAAGTAATATTATTTGTCAACATTACTTGATATTATTGTTTTCCACTTCCTACTTTAATAAATTGTTTAATTGACGCATATCTCACGAACGGTTGGTTTTAGGCATATGGTACTAAAACTTGTTAAAAGACAATTACACAAAGAATCCAAAAGTAATAAAACATACAGGCTGTTCCATTAAAAAAAAAAGTTGATGTCATTTCCGGTGAAACATAAAACAGCATGAATTTAGCATCTATCCCAAACAATAGATGACAAAAAATGTTCAACTTTGTTGTAAGAAGTATTGTCATAACTTTAAAAATAATGGAGTTATGGCTTGAGGTGTTTTTCATAATACAGCCTGTATGAGCTTTGCTTTCATAAATAATGTGTACATCATACACTATCAAGTTCAATATTGTTAGAAACTATTCCGAAGGATCTCTAATCTACTAGTCAACTTTTTATGATTGATGAATTCAAATAAATTGAAAAATGTTTAAAAACTCTTTTTATAAAATCTAAAAACGTTTTCCTTTTTTCGATTGGTAAAAGTATTCTACTGGGACTATTTTCCATCAATGGTCATTTACATCTACAAAAAAAAATGTATATCGTATTAACGTCCCATATTATTTGATGGAAACATGGTAAACCGCTGTGTAGTGTGACTATAATAACTGGAAAACAATCTGTTTTGTTGGAGTTGTACACTCAGTGTAGCGATTCCCGTTCTTTGTCACCAAACAAGTGGTAAATTAATATTCTGGTAACAAGCGAATTTTGCTAATGAGATTGTTAATGACGGACAAGCAAATGAGAATGACACATTCCAGACAGTGTCTCAGTTTTATGGGCGTTTATTTAATACCCCGTCAAAAATTATGAACTTAATTTTATTAAATTAATGAAAATTTCATTAATTGTAGCAATTTCGGTTTCAGCCGCCGAATCCGACACTGACAAACACCGCAACAAAAATTAGTTTGTACAATTACCAAATTGCATGATGAGAACGAGACGAGCACAAAAACGAGTCCTAATTGAATTTTCCTCCCAAAATTGTATCAATTCAGCGGGATAGTAATAATTATTGTGTATTTCGGAATGGCAATGTCGACGACGAGGTGGGCCGCAAAAACAGAAACTCGAACCATTTTTCGACGACACTTAACACCGAACTGGTCTGCTAAACCGTCATTAGCACCGAAGTAAATTAGTTTTGACGTGGCAGCTTGCGTTTTTGCCGGTTTTCTTTGCTCTCTATATCTGAATTTTTTTCCTTTGTATTTCCTTTAGCGTGTCTTATTTGATTCCACGTTGTCATCCTGGAAGAATAGGGATCGATCATGCAATGGGGATACCACGTAAGGTGATGGAGGATTTGATAAATTCACCCACTATCGACACAAGTTTAATTAAAATATCTCTGTTTTTTTCTATTTCCTTTTTGACACAAGTTATAATTACTATTTTAATAATAAAATTAAAAAAATCAAACTGGAGTTTGCATTTTGGCGGAACACCTATATCAGGTATATTCGTAATGTAATTTCAAAACCCGGATTCACAAAGCTGTATTAAATAGAGACCCAAAGGGATTAAAAGGTGTGGCGACTCAAACTTACATGCAAACCAAGTTAGCCAAGTTAGTTTAACGTTTTCATGAAACAAGCTGATGCTTTTCAATAACCTATGTTCCAACAATAACAAACAAAAATGCATTAAAATAAAATAAAATGGATTAAAATAAAAAAATTAAAATATGCGTCTGCAGTTAAAATCCAATACTCCATAATATACCTGGAAGATCGCCAGTAAAGAATAAAGGAAATCGACGGTAACATTTTGCACATTCTGTAACGGCAGTCGTTGGATGCGAAGCATGTCTCGTAGCATGTTTTTTTTAGGTCTTTGTTGCATTTATGTATAATTCTCTCCTGTGATTTTCTTATACATATTTGTATAACAAATATTTGTTACCTAAACGCAAAACAGGTTTACTTAGCTTTATACAACAATATAAATATTGCAAAAAGCAAATGATTAATCAAATCCTGATATTGTTTCTGACAGTAGATACAAATGCAAAATAAACTGAAAAAAGTGCTCGTCTTGTAATTAATTTTTGCATTTATTTGTGAATAAATATAAAGTTAGATAAAGTAAAAGGCTTATTATTGCTTTGACCAAAAATTAAAACAATGTTGTCATTTGATAACATTGTTTTTGATCTTCAAGTAACGTTAATTTGGAAATTAGCCTTAGGATAAAGGATTGTTCTAAAATTTGTTTGTACTTTATTACATGAAAATGTAAAATATTTGTTTGATGTATTATACATATTGAAATATTCTATTCACATAATTGTAGAAATACGCAGAGCATAAAATACTTTTTTTAGATCTATCCGTTAATTCGCAAAAATTGTACAAATTGAGCAATAAACAAGAGAAATAATTTTTAAAACGGTTATTCCATTGACACATTTATTATTTATTGACAACTGTGTCGCAGTAATTGAATAATTCGTTTTCATTTTAATCATGAACAAAATTGTTGTTTTGGAAAAATCGTTACCAGATAAATTGAAGTTTTGTTTGTGATTAGTGACTAGTGACCGAATTTTTAATACTTAAATGAAATTAACAAGAAAATTATGGTAAACTGGACACTAAAATATAACTAAATATCATTATATTGATCGTTTGAAGGAGAAGAAAAGGAGGAGAAAGAAGTAGTTCGAAATTGAGACGAAAGACAAGTCAGGAATTTAATTCTCTTTTCTTGTGTGTGCAAAAAATATAGATAAAAGTTGGATTTGGAAACCTAATAAATGAAAATGATATTTACACGTCCATGAAGGACGAAATCTGTTGAAAAACGGTTGGTGGAGTTTAATTTATTAATTTTTGTTTTGCTTTGCTCCAGGTGGCATGGCTGCGTGTAGACACACAGACCATCCTGACCATTCAAAGTCATGTGATAACGAAGAACCACAGGATCGGAGTGACCCACAGCGAACACAAAACATGGTACTTGCACATAAAAGAAGTGCGTGAGGCGGATCGAGGGTGGTACATGTGTCAGATAAATACCGACCCGATGAAAAGCCAAATTGGATATCTGGATGTGGTCGGTAAGTCGTCGATAAAAAATGTACAGGTAAAAAGCTTTTCCTTTACCCGACTTTTCCTTCTAATTCCCTTAACCTTAGTCAAAGCAAGATGATGTGATCCGTGGCAAATTGTATACAAATCCTGCTAGAAGTAGGTCGGTCGGCCGTAAGAGGACTCTCGAGACAAGTAATGAATAGCAAGTGTGCGAGATCTCCACGAACGGATTGTTTTATTCCCGTTCTCGTTCTTATTTGCTGTTTGTATGTTGTACGATTCACTCATCGTCTTGCCTCTCAGGAAAACTTCCCTTAGGACTTGTAATTTAATAGTATAATCTGAACAATAGTCGCCGCAGCTCGTACGACAGAAAAACTACCTTCACACACACACTTTTATATTGCATTTTCAAGGAATGGTTGTATTTGAATAAATCTGAAGTGCATTAGAGTGTTTGGGGACGCTCAAATCACTCGGCAAACAAATTAAACCAAAAAGCAACAACTGCCTTTCATATTTCTTATCAAGGCAATTTTTATTAAGATACTCGTAGCACAGAAACAAAGCCTACAATCCCACGTTTATTGAACATCAGACTTAAAATCATTGCGGTGTTGTCAGGATTTTATAGCTGTTTGCGCAAAGAGATTGCACCCGTCGAAAATCCACTGTTTTTATTTCGTTTTAATCAACATCGAATTTCCTACAAACGGGTTTTATTACGTATAATTAATTGCACGAGCTTGATTGCGATAGATTTCTATTTCCCTAGAAGTAATCGAATAATAAAAAAACGGTTATGTACCGATCGCGTGTTCTATGTCCATTTAAATTTGACGTTGGTGAATAAGAAAGCAATAACTGCTGTCTGAGAATGCATTTTTTCCCATAAGCATTTTTGAAATTTTTAAATAATGTTTCCGACATTCGTAATAATTTATTGAGCCATTGTCAGCAAAATAACGTTTAGATGTGACAGCGCAACTAGATTTACTTTTAAATATTTTTATGCTTCTTCAATTAATTTGTCAATACATATTTTAATTCACAAATTCATTGATTGCAGTAGAAAATGAAACACAAAATTATAAAAAAATAATCCATGTGAAATTCAGATATTTTTATTTTCTCGTATACAAATGTATTGTTTTTTTAACAAAATAAAATGATACTATTTTACAAGTGTTATTATTAAACGTCTATTTTGTAAAATAAGTGCTTTGTTTCCGTTCCCTAACTGGTTTTGATTTCAGGCTTCATAAATAAGCAAATATCGGCATCCAACAAATCAATGGCACCTGCACTATTATGTCTAGAAAGAGAGCATTTCTTATTTATACCAGCGCAGCGGCACGATTTGTGATTTGTTCTTTAAAAGAAAGTAATATCAATGCGCTGCTTTCTGTCGAGATAATGAATTTTTCTATCAGTTTTAAATTTAAATTACATACATTGCTTTTAAGAAATTTCATCCGTTCTCAAGGATGGCACAAGTTTTTTCGGCCCTACTTATTGGTGTTTTTAGATGTATGTAATATAAAATCTTAGGGATTGTATTTTGGTCCCTTATTTTGTACCGAAACGTGCCCCGACTTGGCAAGGAGGTCAAGAACAAAATTGCCTCTTATTTGTCATCGTTTAAAAAATCTCAAATAGGAGCTTTTCAACAACACTAACACATCGTCAAGTAAATATTTATTAGATTTTTGTGCAGTTTCTGTTAATTTTTGGAGATTATTGCGGGGGTGGGGCGATATAGTCCGTTTAGCGGATTGTTGGAGTTTAGTGCCAACTTTCCAAATAAATTAATAATGAAATTAAGCAAAGCTCTTATAATAAATGTAGGATAACAGACCGAAGCTAATCCGAGGACATCAGGTAAAACCACTTCTGCAAAAGCCACTAAATTTGCTACTGTAATAGCTGTCTCCCCATGCGTGGTTAGTGAGTCGGTCGTGTTTCAGCAACCACCTTTCCCCGTCATCCAATAACATGCAAATGTATGTAAAACAGCCATCAAATTACATAACACCGAATCATAGGACGTTTTAACATCACTTCTTGTGCAGCGCGTCGTATGTAACATTACAGGGTAGCTTATAACCGCCATCTAATTTCGTTATTCTTAATCCAAAACCTACATTTCTATAGAATGCACAACACAAATTTTGTTTCTTTATTTTCAAATCATTTGTTGCTGATTTAGGACTTTAATAGAATTAAATACAACGTAAAAAGTGTTGTTTCACCAGATAACGTGTCTCTATGACTTCATCGCCACACCATATCGTTTTATTACAGCACTAGAAATAGGGATTAAAATTTTTAAACTTTTTCGTCTGAGCTTAAACGCAGTGTAACTTGTTTAATTACCTCGACTACCAGAGTTATTTTATAAAACCCTTGTTTAAAAGATCTATATTTTCCTTAAATCTATTTAAATAGATTTTAGCTCATAAAGACAATTATTTCAAAAGTTTCTATATCTAGAAATAAACAGTTTTCTAGGTATTTTAGAGTTTCATGAGTCTCATGAAAATTCTGCAAGTTAAAGCCTTTAGTCACAATTTGAGTCTTGTTTTTAGTCTGTGATGTTGATGGATCGTGTTATTGTTAGATTTGATTTGATAAAGTTCTTGAAAGGTGTATTTTGCATTAACTGAGTTTGTTGTTGTTCTTTTAGTGCCTCCGGATATCTTGGACTACCCTACGAGCACCGATATGGTGGTACGTGAGGGATCCAACGTGAATCTTCGCTGTGTTGCCAAAGGATCACCAGAACCTTCAATTACATGGAGACGAGAAACAGGGGAGCCTCTTAAATTGTTAACAGGAGAAGAAGGTAATTATAAATTATTGTGAAGAAAAAGCCTGTACTAGACGTAGACATGATGAATGATGGAACCGATTGTATTGTTATATTTTTGCGTTGTAAAGTGACGTTAATGAATCATGAAAAGATTGAACACTAAATTACAGTGCAGCAGGGAAAGTGGCTTAGCTGCATGTCTCGCTTTGGTTAATCGATTGGTTAATCATAGAGTATCCAATGGTTTGGTTATGAGAGCATAAAGGCATGAGTATATTTTTCACACAATTACTAATTAATGAAGGTTCTCGGTAGGGTAACTCTCGAATTTGGCGTCGCTTTCAGCGCACATAAAGTCTAATATGTATAACGTTAAAAAATTGGAAACGGCTCGTGAAAAATGATTTCGCTTGTTATCTGCTCTGCTTTCTGGGTGTGTACCTATCGAGATATTAATCTCAAGTGCGGTGTATTGGGTGTGAAATTTTCGAAATTGCCTGAGTTCGGAATAAAGTTGCTATTGTTAAAAACATCGAAAATTGAGCGGATCAAAATCCTTCAAGAAAAAATACGTTAAGCGAGAGCAAGTGCGATTGTCACGCAAGAAAGTCGATGCCGAGTTTATCGAAAATTCATAAAAAAATAGGTAAATTTAGAAGGAGGCTTAATGTAAGTATTTAGAAGTCACGTTAAATGACGAGAAAAAACGTAACAGAAAGTTTTGTTGAAAATTCAGAAGACACTTCGCTACTCTTCCATTGATTCACACCGTTCGCAAACAAAAAAGAACCATTCTTTATGCTGGGTCTCAAATGAATAATTAATTTCCATCATTCTTGCCTGGTTTGGGAGGCTTGCGCAGAAATCATATCGAGCCGAGATTTATCTCAGTCAGAAGCGGCGTTTCACGTTAATTGAAGGTCCTTCAGAAGCACGGCAAAGCACACATCGTAAGAAGACACGTAATCGTCTAATGCGATAGCACAACCTGCCGCTAAAAGTGGCACAATCTTCTAAATAAATATACAAAATGCAGCGAAAATATTTTGCTCGAAAATTTATCATTGCTTCAAAACGAAATCTCCAACGTGTCTTAACTACAAAGCAGCCGGCATTACTCATGTCTTTGCCAACTTTACCTGCAGAATGTGCTAAACTTTATGATGAGCGTGTAGACAACGTAACTCAATTTGCCTAATTATCCAATTTGCCACACTAAACAAAATCTTACTCAAAAAACAATTGCTTTTTTAAATAACAAAAAACAAGTTGTATTCATGACGTTTCACGTAATATTTTGCAGTGCACTGACATTTTCCTTCACACGAAATTAAAAACGTTACACAACATATAACATACATTCTAAGTTTAACCTTTAGAAAACGTATGCAAAACCGTAAACCCACTATGGAGTTAACTTAATATTTGAAATATTTAACCAGCGACCGAGGTGTCATATTCAACCTACAGGGCATGTAAAAATATGCCACTTTTTAGTATTTGTTTACTCAGGCAATAGTACATTATATTAGTAAAAGTAAAAGTGATAGTTTATCACAAAGCTGAATGTTTATTTTGCCGAACGTTATGAGGCAAATAATTCCGCTGAGCCACATAAACTCACTTTTACTCTCAGTAACATATACTATATTTTATCCGCAAACGTATTTAAATCGAAAGTGAAAACCAACACTTAATTAGCAAGTTAATGAACAAAATAATTCGGAGGCTTGGTTGCAAGGTTTTATTAGTTCTGTTTATGAACATCATATGTCAGTATAGTATTTAATCTACATGTATTGAGATTTTTGAAAGTGTTTATTAATTTAATTAGTGGATGATTAGTGCAGCTAGTAGTGCGAAATGTTAAATGCCGGTGATCTACAATGTACTTATTCCGAAATTGTTGACTTCTATAAATAGTTTAATTTTACATTTGTCGTAGTCCCACGGCACACATTCTAAAATATGAACTCGTACACCCGGGGAAAAAAACTATTCACCAGTCTAACTTTGTACTCGGGCTGCGCTTTGTCGCAATAGCGTTTCAGACCAACTAGTTGGAGAGCAGGTAATGTGTCGAAAAACCTTTATTTATTAAGTTGATCCGGACCCGAAAACTGACTTTTTGTGAAAATTACTTCAATGAGCCTAAATTATAACGTATAGGTACATTAAATTGTGTTTATAATAAACAAGCTTGCTCAAATTATCAAATTACAAATACATAAATTTATTTAAGAAAGAAATGTATTTGATTGAGTTTACAAGAGGAAAAAAAATTTAACCTTTGATTTTACGCCAAAACTGCAAAGGAAAAACATTTTTAGCTTGACTTGACTTCTACAGCTTTCAAAAATCAAGATTGTAGAACTAGTTTTAAATGCCAGAACATTTAAATAAACTGTGAATTTTGCCAATTTTTATCAAGTTATTTATTTCTTTTATAATCATAATTCTGAACTTAATAATACATTTTACAATAGCCAGTCAAAAGGAAACAAATTTTTGATACTACTGATAAAATTGGTGGAGGTGCCGGGTCAGAATTAAAAATATTTTTGTCAATATTTGGATAACAAATTATGTTCATTAATTGTCAAGATTTTTTGTTTATTGTATATGTTCACAGTGCCAAGCATTGATGGTCCTGTGTTGAATATCAGTCGCGTGAGTCGGCAACAAATGGGGCCTTACCTGTGTATCGCCTCCAACGGCATTCCTCCATCAGTCAGCAAACGCATCATGCTCATCGTGCATTGTAAGCAGTTTAAAAAACGTCTATCGATCATTCTCATCAGCTCTTTTCCAGTTCCTCCAATGATCTGGATTCAGAATCAGCTAGTAGGAGCATACGAGGGACAACAGATAACACTAGAATGCCACTCGGAGGCTTTTCCAAAGTCTATTAACTACTGGACCACTGATAAAGGCGAAATCGTTCCGCAAAGTTAGTACTTTTTTATTATTTCGCTGTATAAAAGGAAGACGTGTTGCTTTTTAGATAAGTTTCCCAGACAGGTTTGACCGTTGGTTTGTTAAAGCAAAAAGCACGATCACAACTTCTGTCTATTTCAACATTTTTTTCTCATCCTTTATTGTATTATTGTGCTCTTCTTTTCTCTTTTTTTTTTTTAATTACGCTAGCAGTTTAATCCTTATTTTCGGGTTTTGTCTCCGGATTTTTATTACATTTTTTTATTAACGAGCCCAGTGACTTCACATTAATTTTGATCTCTTGGGGGCTTATAATTTTATCAATTTGATACAACACGGCCGACATATCTATAATATCACACTAGTGGTCCCACTTTAATTAAAATTTATTACCAAACACATGTTAGAAGGTTTTTAATAAAATATTAACACAGTTTTTTTTTACTAGTTTCTCTGTAGACAACAATTTGCTGTAGTGATGGTTTTAGTTGCTACATATTTAGAAATAATTTTGATAGCTTTACGATTCCGATTCGTTATAAACCCTCATTTGTTGTCATAAAACAAAAAATGTTTGGTTAGTATAGTGGATAAATATGTGCCAAGTGGCGGCAATAGCTCTTGCGTGAACTTTACATTCGCAAGTATCAGTAACAATAACGTGGCAAATTGGCCGTCAATCGATGTAATACGGTAGTGACGCAATTGAATCAATATTTTTCATGCTGAAAATTCCGGTATTATAAATTATAATCCAGATTTTATACCCGATATAAATCATAAATTATTCCGTATTTTCAGGTGGAAAATACGAACCATCGTACTCGACGAACGGCTACAAGATCCACATGAAACTGACCATACGGTCGATAACTCCACAGGACTACGGGAATTACAAATGTGTATCGAAAAACTCTTTAGGCGATACTGACGGAACAATACAAGTTTTCGGTAAGTTAATTACGCTTATATTTCGAAATAAATTTTAAATGATTAGGTAAAGAATGAACCCAAAGGAGAAATTTATTCTTAGTTTCGTTTGAAATATTTCATCTTTGACTAGCGAACCGAGGAATCGTATTTTATGCATCAAATACTACACTAAATAAAGCTGTCCTCTTTGATAAATACAAATCTGTATTACTAATTACATACTAGCCTGAAAAAATTTCTTGAAACATTATATTTCAAGACTTTATTCTTGATTTAAAACTATGTGAAAACAGTTTATTGTCCTAAAACTAGAGCTAAAATTTATTTTCTATTTGCAAACTGCTGATTCATGTTTTGTTGCTAAATTTGCAGTTGAAGTCAGATTGCTGGAAAATAGTGGAAATTGTTGGCAAATAGTTGCTCTAATTATTGCGTGATTAAATTAATCTATTAAACCCTTGTGGTTTGATAGATTTTATTTTATCTTTCAATGATTAAGATTGATAACCCGACGGTAATTTTACTTTAGTTGAATTTAATTGCAGAATTTTAACACTATTCATTACAGAAAAAGCATGAATACTGTAATTGCAAAGTGTGTTTAATCAGATTAATATCCTGTAATATTGGCGTAATAAAATTTTTATTGGAAAATTTTTGGTGTTAATGCTGTCCATAAATGTAGAAGCGTCATATTTCGTATGATTGAGGAATGTTAACTGGAGTCTATATTTTTTACAGCCATACCTAAGCCATCAAAACTTTCAAATGGTTTATCAAGGAAAGGTGAGTTCGTAACATTTTACCCCAAAAGTTGGAAGGTACGTGACGTAATTTATAAAACTAACCCGGCTCTCTGTGTCGGTAATTTATCGTGCGGTGATGCGTATTTATGTTCCATACGTCTAACGTTTTCCTCGATTAATTAACCGAGTTATTAATAATAAGTGAATAAATTGCACTGAGGCGTGTAAAATCCGTCCGAGATCCGGCTTTAAGAAAGCGCGGTTTAAAGTTCGCGCCAACTCTTGATTAATATACAAAAGCTCAGCATGGCGCAGACTGTCACGATTAACAAGCACGATTCCGCACTTCCCAGTCACTTACCAGCGAATTTAGGTGGAAACGTCATGTTAACATGCAATTTCATAATTTATTTCACTTACAAATCAACGCCGGTTACGTTTTATAAATTATATATTAGAACGGGATCGTTGCGTTTTCTCTTATTAATTTTTGCCGTTATGTTACTACAGACAAACTAAAAAAGAAAACCAACAACGTCATTGGAGAACTGGAAAATATCACCGACGGTGAGTAATCAATTGCTCTAGAAAATTATTCATATTGCAATGAATATTTCGTGGATCTTATGAACTTGCTTGTGGTCCCTTACGTATACACGGGAATGACCATAAATAATAGATTGACCCTCAACCACAAACTTTTTACGTAATAGTCACCGCAAAACTATATTCTTTTACTCGAAAATGTAAAAAACTTAAGATACAAGTTAACAGTGTCCATGCTTTTATCACATGAAGCTTGTTTACATATGCTGACGACAATTCTTTCAGTTACAGTTGTAAAAGACTTTCTATTTCTGTTAAATTTTTATCAAGGAAGAAAAAGTCTTTTAACTTTGGCGGCTTAAAATAAATTATAGAAGACCTCAGACAGGTTAGAAGATCAGTTAATTATTTGAAATACCTGCACCAGAGCTTTTGATAGAAGCAAAGAAAACATTTAAAAGATTTAATTTTAGTATAAAACAAAGTTTTTCTCAACAAAAAAGTGTATTAGGTGCTAATAAACGCTATAATTGCGCAGTAATATACATTTTGAGACAATTTTACAATATTAAATTTTGGTGAAACTAATAAAAACAAGAAATTACTAGTGCCATAAATATTGCATAGTGGTAAATTCATTCAATATAAATTGTGCAATATTTTATTATTATTATTATTTACCAAACGATTAAATGACTTTAAATTATTGAGAAATAATCTGTGAATCCTTCTACAAAACATCGCGAAGCATCACGCTGTAAATGCAACTGAATTTATCACTTGAAATCTCATTTCAAATTTGAACCTTTCAACGAATGTTTCGCTAATAGGTGTTTTCCCACTTCTTACTCGGTTCTTTACAAACTGCATTCTATTAAAGCAAAGTTGCAACGAATTTCTTGTTTCCGTATCTAATTTTAATAAAGCGGCAGACTGCATCACAAGTTTTTGTAACCATTCGAATGATTTAAAACCAGACGTTTGGAGTAAACAATTAAAACAGGGATATTGCGGTATTAAACTTTTAATATTGTCAATTTATAGTTTTCTGTCTTGGAAACAATAAAGGTGCTTGCAGTCGTTGTCTGTAAACATTAATACCACCATCTGCAAATATACAAGTTGGAAGGTAGGTAGTACTACACTTGTGAACAAGTTTACGATTCAAAGCAACTTTGCACATCTCAAGGATAATAACAATTCTTTTCATTTTATCAAAACCTGTGTAATACTACATTGGGAGAGTAATATTTTCTCTGGCTTTCTATATAATTAAAGCTTGTTGTTTGTATTCATAAATTTTTTCCCGTCCTTTTTGCTGTTTTCCTCTCATTCCAAGCATCGAAGCTTGATGATTTATGAGAGCATTGGAGCACATGTCTTTTAATATCTGCCGCGTAAGCCCTGAGATTGATTCGAAATCAAAGCCAGCCCATTGCTCCAGTTTCCGCGATCATGTTCAGCCAAAATTTTAGATTTAATAAAAAAAAATCGCGCCAGGGGTTGTTTCAGATTGTTCCGAGTAATTTATCGGAACAAGAGATTGATTGCAATGCGCATTTGATTAAGCATGGAGCACACATTTTATTATCGATAAATTACTAGGAATAATAATTATTCCAAGACAATGTGCCTTTGATTGGTGATGAGTAAGGACGTGTCGTGATTGAAATTAAGCTGTCGGGTTTGTTTCAGGTTTGGATGACCAGCCAGATTCCTTGTTCCAAGAAGAGGAGTACGGTGCCGGGGAACGTGCAAAAACCGGACTTATCTTTGTAGCTTTTTTAGTCGCGATGCCTTTCGTCCTACAATAAATCTTACTCATGTTGTGCTGTGTACAAGAGAAATCTCAAGATTAACGCTGAAACAAGTTGTGTTGTTCAGACGATGAATTTCTCTTCCTTAACTATTTTTTATATGCTTCCATTGCTACAAGTGGTTTTAGTGATAAGGTTCATTTGGAGAATCATTCTTTTTTTTTTGCATAATACCATACACAATCGTTAGAAAGGGCGAATGTATATTAGTGGTTGCGACTGATAACTGTATTCTTTGTAAGTATAAATTAGGAAAAAATAGTGCTTGAGAAATAAAATTATTGGCAGTATGTGTAATAATAATATTAATAGGTGGATTAAATGCAGTCAGGGCCGCATACATATGGATTACAAGCGACATGCAAGTGCTTAGTGTAGCAAAGTTATGCACATACTGATGAGAAAACGAATTTTGACAAAGGCTGTCCACAAAACTAGTCTCTTGTTGAGCTTTTGTGGTTATCTGTTCTATTTCTCTGTTTAAATAAAAATAAATTTAGTGTTCAAAAGTCTGAAAGTCGCTATGCATATCCTCAGTCAACCGATCAAATGTTTCTTCCTTCGTATTTAGGTTGTTTATTCTCTTTGTGTATAAAAAACGAGTATGTGAATAGCTGTAACATTCCATTTTGTATTGTAAAAAAAACTTGCTACTAAAATTAAATAAAATAGTTTTCTAAAAAAGAAATGTATTATTTCCACCCAATTTATATTCCGCTCTTGCAATTTATCTATAATCTTGGTGGGGTTTGATTGTTTAGCGTCAGTTTTAATGAACCGCACAATAAACCGATTTATATGTATAGGTTTAAAAGGCAGGATAAATTTCATTAGCACTCCCGTAAATGCAGCACTTAAAATCCTTGGCACGCGTATTCGAAGGAACATAACGATTTGGCAAGCATCCCCTAGTAATATCGGTAAAACTTTTGGTTTATTTTGAGTCGACTGTTGATCGTGTTCAACACCCAAAATGTCACTGTAATTATAAGGAAACACAAAAGGTACATTCGTGCAGATTTAGTTTTTGCCATCTACATTACAAAAGGTATTATCACAATGAGGTGCCGCGCTGTTATTTCGAATCGTTAGATGTTATCACATTAAAACGTGCAGGTTGTAAGAGTGAGGTTTCTGAACGTTATTGTCAAAATACATGACGGCAGAACGTCTTTATCTCAAGGAAAATACAAAATATTTTATTATTGTGCTAAATCGAGCTGCGCTTGACACAATTTAGCAAGTTCTCCTATTTTACAAAAGAAAGTTTCAAACAATATCTTCTTAGCAGAATTTCGCCTCTGTTAAAAGGACCGTGAAATTTATCATCAAATATACAAAATGGACGGATTTAGAAATTTTATGGAAAACCACCGTAAAAACGATGTAGTTTACTTCCCGTTTTTTTTTTAATAAAACCAGAAGCACGCAAAAATGTGGTTTCCTAATCTGTTCGTAGAAAAACTGACTTATTAATTACTATTGATTTATATTATACCTTATAATTTGGACGGAATCAATGCAACGTGGAAATGAAACTAGATTTTTGTTGCACGAAAATAATAAACAAAATTTATGTGATACGCAACAAAAGAAATTTTAAATAAAAAATGTTAGACTGCCTAACCCCAAGTTTCACAAAGCTGCATTCAACCCCTGTACCAAGATTAATTTCTATTTGTTAACTTACTCTTGTTTGTGGAATGATATAATGTTTTCGTGTTTTCTGTAGCCGCGCTATTAATTATGTACACTATAGTTCTGGTTATGTACGAAACTAACAAAAAGTATAATTAATAGGGTCGAAGCAAATCAGGCTATTGGTTTTGATTAACGCGATATATATTCATGAGGAGTCCTTGACAGGATAATTGGAGGCGACCCGATCTCAGCACGTTCCTCAGACTAACGTTACATTGGTGGTTTGTAACATAACAAAGTCAAACTTTTCCGATCCATAAAACACTAAACTTCGAAACGAAAGCTGGTGCAAGGTCCTACCCTCAGTTGCGCTGCTTGTAGCAGCATACAAATTGCATGTAATCACACTGACGACGTTTTTAATAGCTTTGCGCGAAGTGTTAACTATGAATTATCGCTTTCTTTTTCTCCTAATTCATGTGTTTTATGAAATTATTTGCATAGTGTTTAAAACCGGCAACAATTTAAAAAACTTTATTAAAATTAATTATCTCGCAAATAATGACAATGGAAAAGAATTTTTCGATTATTAAAGCACAATTCGAACAGATTGCGTGTCACGTTCTATTTGGCAATGTAGCACATTTATTTTCTCGACACAATAAAAAGTACGGTTGACATGAAATGCTGCAATACCGAAAGTTTTCATTAAAAATAAATAGACGAGACATTTCATTAACAATTGGATTTTTCAACTGAAGAAAATTTACTTCGTTATTTTTACGGGTGTGAGGATAGATAGTAACTGATGCAAGGGGTGTTTATTTTAACTAAAAAGATAAAACTTGATCCAATACAGAGAAGATGGGATAAATACACAGACTAAAAAGAAAAAGATACAGCGAAATCGTCAATAAGATGAAGCATTGAATCGTAATCAAGGTATGCGATCTAATCTTCTAATGACTGCGGTTTCAACTCTATGATCTCTCTTACATATTCGACAACAGAAGATATACGTCTCAAAAGATTATCAAACTTGGATGTAATTCAAATAGCATAAATTTTGATTTTTGATTAAATTCATGATTTAAGTAACGCTAAGAAAATAAAGAGAGATGATCTGGATGCGGCGCAGGATAGGTTAGGAAAAAGGTAAGCATTTCAAAGTATGTTGTTATAAAATTTTTATTACCACCTATGCTAAAATAAGCGTACAAAAATAATCCTTATCTAAGTTCGTAATGATATAAAACTTTCAGCAAGTTAGTTTTTAACGTTAGTCTGTATAACTCAACGCTACATACATTTCGTCTTTTAAAATTTTCTTATTGAAACACATCATATTAAATAAATGTGATGCAGTACAGAAGTACTCGTAACCATAGAATTGTAAATAGTTGCGAGACATCAAGTTGATAAGCACAACTGTAAAATTCATCCTCCAGATATAGCAAGTCAGCGCGGTCTGAAACAATAAAATAAACTTTCCTGAAAAATAAAATATTTAATTGACTGTTACCTTTCTCTGTGGAACCTATTTGATAAGTTATATCATTTGCTACTTTCTTGAAACCTGAAATTACTTACATTTTATAAATAGTTACAGAAGCGCAGTTTATACCTTTGCTTTTGACATGAAGCGAGCTATTTTTCAGTGCTGGGTTAGATATTCCTAAAAAGTTAAAATTTTCATTTGAATCAATAACCAATAAAGGTCTTACTATAAATATTTATTGTGCCTTCCATATCACCCAAAGAATTTTTTGATATGCATTTATAGATTCCGTAGTCTAATGGTCCCAAATGATTTATGGTCAATTTCATATGCACTTTATACCCATCCTCGATAATCTCGGGCACATATTTAACACCTGAAAATTTGAATTTATGACAGCAAAATTGTATTAACTTTCGAAACTTCAATTATTTTATCGTTTGAGAACCTACTGTGGGGAATGATTTCTCCATTATCCCTAGTCCAGTAGTTGATGGATTTCGGATATGCTTCGGAATGGCATTCAAGAGTGATCTGTTGATGGTCATATGCCCCTACCAATTGGTAGCCAATCCACACCGAAGGAGGAACTGTCGGAAACAGAATTTTAAAACCAATACAGTAACTTGGGTCGAGTGTTTATTGATTTTAAAACTTCTGCACATAAACAATAATTATTCAAACATGGTATAAACTTTTACCAAGTGAATTAAATATTTATGGTTCACTCAGTTTCAAGGTGCGACGAAATACTTCAAAACGAATTTTAAATTAACTAAAACATTTAATTAAAAATGTATTAATTTCAATCAAAATTTTGGTTTTTATAAATTTAATGAAGTTTTTGAGTTAAATCTATTTAAAGCAAAGCAATCTAATCTAGCTTAATCAAGTTCATGTACCCGTTCTACTACGAAGTGTAATATTAACACCATCAATCATAATTTGTCACCGAGGCGGAAGCGTCAATTAGACCGATTAATTGCCAACATGTGTGCACTACTCAAGTTGGAGGACATGGAGTGGAATTACTTGATTTTTACTTACACTGTACTACCACCGTTATTCTTTTGCTGACGGAGGGAGGAACACCATTCGAAGCGATGCAAAGGTAAGGTCCCATGTGTTCTCTTTTAATTTTTGATATGTTGAGTGTGGGACCACTAGCAATAGCAACTAAAACAAATTTTCAGTAATTTAGAGAATACGAAATTGTTTACCCTCGCTCCCCATTCTTGACGGTATGAGTTGCCCGTCTTCTCGTTTCCACAGAATTGAGGGTTCTGGCGACCCTTTTGCGACGCATCGCAAGGATACGTCAGCCCCTTCGTCCACGACAATGTCGGCGCTTGTTGGTAAATCCAGAATATCAGGCGAGACTAAAATCAAAATCCAAACAATACGCATTTAATTGAACAAAGATAAATCACGCCATGAATGGTTGAGATCCTTGGCTATGCGAATATCTCCCGGACGAAATATATAGTCTACAACCGACAAAGGCAAATACTCTTGGAAAAAAAACGGCAAAAGTTACATATCCTAGAGAACAATCGTGATCGGACCACTGCATCTTTTATTTTAAAACTTTGAAGGATGAGATAAGGATTTTATTTGGTGCGGTGGGTATTGGATTTTTGTTTCCGTTTTCAAAGAAGCAAGACAAGAGAGAAATGAGGTCTAAACGTTGAATAGCGCTGTTCAAATCGAATTTTGTTTCGGGATTCACTTGAGTTTTATGACGGCATAAACCCAAAAGCTTTAATTGCACGAAATGAATTTTTATTCCAGTATGAACGCATTATAATTTTTATTACTCAAAATTAAAAATTTTATTAACGTGAGAAGTGTATCACCTACGACATCCAAGTAACAAATTTGACTTTTCATTGGGTCGGTGTTAATCTGACACATATACCAGCCCCTGTCAGTCTCCCTCACTTCTTTTATGTGAAGATACCAGGTTTTGAGTTCGCTGTGTGTTACTCCAATCCTGTGGTTCTTTGTAACGACGTGATTATGAATTGTAAGAATAGTTTGAGTGTCTACTCTTAGCCACGCTACCTGGAACAAAAACACAAAGAACCCTAATAATCACAATTATAACGCAATTCCAAGGGTCGTCAAATTTGTTTTGGCCCATTGTAAAGTTGCCCCTACATAAATTTAATAATGCCGTTGTGACATTTTCTAACGCGATTAAATAATATTACTACATACGTATGACATTTTAAGGGTGGTATTAATAAAGACAGTAAAACGAAGGAACCGTAAGGGTTACCATAAAATATCACAATACGTATTTTAAATATAAACTCATATTGTAGGGAAGAAAGAAAACCAACCCATGCAATGGCGCACATTGTAATAATTGGAACGGTTTCAGAATATTAGGTACTTTGGTATGCCATACGCACTTTGTAAAAAAAATTTAATAAAACGGTTTCTCCCTTGTTCCAATTATTTTGTTAAATCTTAAACGAGCTATGTAATTACCCGTTGACATTTTCAGCTCTTTGTCTTGAAATTTATTTTTAATTACTTACCCCTTCACTCACTTACGAGTATGCCAGCCAACTCTTAAGTGTATTAACTTATTCATCACAGACAAAAAACCTAATAAATGCAAAACTGTGACCGCAACAAATCAATACATTACATTCATCACAGTAAAAAACCTTATTAAAGAAAACAACTTGTAGAGACGTTCAGTTGTGAAGTCGAAAAAAATATGATAGCTTCCGAAACTCACTAAAAGTTTTTCTAAGAAATGCCTGGTTCTATTGAAAGAAATTTTAAATTTATCGGAACAAATATCTGAATGAAAATATCGAATTACCCTCTTTTCAAAACTCAGTTGCTTCAGAATTGTACGGTTTTACGTTCACGCTTAGATAACTTAAAATTTCTGCAAAACTCTCTTAAACTTACACCCAGACATTTTATTTTATTCACAGGTTATCGAAACTATGCTTAGATACTAAAAAAAACCAAGACAAATTGCTGGCAAAAAAAACTTAAAACCAGTTTATTGGCCTGTTTGACTAATCAAATAATCTCAAAATAATATTGGGGAAAAGAGAGAAATACTGTTAAAACCATAAAGAGAAACTTTTGTCCATATTGTAGGGAAGTCAGGCTTACGCCGGCTTTTACGACCGCTGCTTGATGGTTTCCGGATTATATGCCTTAGTCCTCATTGAAAGATAGATGACATTTGATTAGTCATGATCGTAACTTATCCAAAATGCACCGCATAGAAAATAAATTTTGAAAATGCCATAAGTTACCGACTCATTGTACTATGTAAAAATCGCTTTTAATCAGGTGTGTGTGTTTGTATTTGATGAAAAGTTTTAAAAATTTAAACAACACACGACAGTATGTTTATCAATACAAAGCGTCGATACAAATGATTAATGTGCTTTTTCAAGCCTTTGCAAAAACAAAAAGCTTGATTATGGTAGATTGTTCCACGCTGAATGACTATAAACAAAGAAAAATCGGAATAATTTCTGGAGTAAAATTTAATATGCTGAAAGAATCAATCAGAATAATGGTCGGTAATTAAATTAAAACTCGTCTGAATTACAACAAAAGCACAAACTCGATGATGAAGGTGAAAGTAAGAAATGAGTCACCGTAGAATCAATGCAGTTTTTAATCTTTGCGATTGGAAAAGTTGCGTCTCGCCCGTTCTCATTTCTTTATTAAAAAGAAAATCTTTTGAAATTGTTATCTGAATTTATAACCGTCTATTAAAACGGTCGCGAAAAAGTTAGTAATGAAAAATCCACAATGATTTATAGTCACCAGCATCCAGACATTGTAAGTTATTCGGTTATAATGACAGCTGCAGCGACACCGAGTCATTATTCTGCATATCAAGCTCTAACAATAGTGATTGTGCGATACAACTCAAACCGGCTGACCGGAAATAATGCAACATAGGTGGGTTCGAATGCGTCTGTGGAGCAGATAGGATTTCAGGCAGCGTAAACTGACAACCTGCTCAAACATAATACTGCAAATCAAAGCTGGTGTATTCTTTCTGCAAACAAAATGCGCCAAGTACGTCTGCAATTAATAATCCGGCTTATCGCTGCCAATGCCATGATCACATAATTTCTATGGAAATATTCGCCGGAAAAATATTTGATCGCAATCACGAGTTAGAACACAAAGCGGAAATTAAAAAAATACGTGGTCGAAACGCTGACAAAGCTTTCATCTCAAAATTAATTCCCCGCGAGTAAAAATTAAACTACAGATACAAAAGAATGTGCATAATAGACCAGTTTGCAACTTGGGAGTAATAAACTTCGTCTTCGGACTTAGACACATATTGTAGAGAGGAAGCGGAAACGTTGCTTGTGACCATCATAGGAGGATAACGGCGAGAAGGAAACCAGACGGGAACTGGAGTTATGGATACGTATCTCCCTGCTGAGTGTCCACAGGAACTGTTCCATTATTGCAAACTTTGTTATTATTGAAGACATAAACTCGGCTGAATTATCAAGTCCCTGATGTTGGATCAATAAACCGAAATTTGTTTCAATTTTCAAATCAATGTAAAATTATTTTATTTTGTACCCTGAGGCATATTATCGACTGACCGACTGGGATTTTAATTACTGAACGAAGCATATACTCTACCTTATAAGAGCCGAGATTCTCAACAACGCAGGCTAAGATGGCTTCACGCCCTACGGCGACGGTATTATTAGGAATAGGTTGACTAAATTTAGGGCTTTCTGCAACAAGAAAAAAAGATAAATAAAACCTATTAAATAACTTCAAATCTTGATCTTTCTACATAACGTGCCAAATAAATTTCAAAACGAAATTAACTTTGAATATAAATATAAGTGGTATCTTAAAGCGCATTAGAGAGAACCTATTATTTAAAGCAGTATCTACTTGAGCAGTTCATTCGGATTAGCTCTCAATTGCGAATGGAAACCCGGAGCTGACTGCGATACTCACTGCTAATCAGCTTAACGAATTTATTGTTTCCCACGGTGAGATTTACCTACGAAGGGAAGAAACAAACTAACTTATTATTGAGAGAAAAGGCAGAGGGACTCTTACGACCACCGCCTCCATTTCAATAAATTAAAATAATTATTTCACAAGTGCCCTACAAACTCCATCTAGAATATTATTACTCCAGCAATCAACGTAGCCACAATCATGCAATAAAATTAATTAAATGCTTAATTGCTACTTAAGTTGGTACACAAAAGCCGCATAGAAAATGTACGTAACAGTGTAGTTGTGCCAACAAAACTTTTCATATTAAATAAATAAACGAAATGCAATTTTTAAGAAAATTAAGATTTTATCTTTTACGTCTTTGACAAATGAACATTTATCACTTTGGTAATATGTTGCAACCCCGTGATTTTTTCTTGTAGTCTTGGGAGACTATGTGAGGCGGGTTTATGGATTCAAACACTAAGTTTTATTTTTTTGTTGTGTCTTTATAAAACTAGCAAGACTCTCGTAACATAATAGAGTCAAAATCACGTTAAGAATGTGCAATAAAGAAACGTGTTATGTGTATAAAATTGATGAGATTTTCACGGGCGTCTTGGTGCCAAGCTTGCTGTCTTTTGTCAGTCTTTATTTTGGTAACCTTTTAAGAAATAAAATTTGTATTGAAACATTATCGAGCTCTAATCTTATTGTTGAATTCAAACAAGCAAACATGTTTTGAGTGATATTAGTATGTGTGTGTATTTTCAATACACTTTCATAGTACGAAACGACGTATTGATCGCAATACTAGTTAAACTAATGGTAAACATGTCAAAGATGTAATCTGTTCTGATCGGATGGTCTGCTTCGATTTATACATTAGTCTGACAGCTCCGGAAAATCAGCTCCTTCCATCCCTAAAACGATGACAATACGAATCGAACATCATCGCTGTTAATAGAAAGCACATGACCGCAAAAAACATTATTGGTAACCGTTGTTAATTCCGTTACAATAAAAAGAGGAATGATGGATTAAATCAGTTTAAATTGGACGAAACGCAAACGACTTCCTTGCTTACAAAATCTACTAGAGAACCGCCGCAGGTTAAATACAGTCTAAAGTATCTCCAATTACAACATATTCTCTGTTATTAGCCTCTTTGCATTGCTAATGAGACTCTTGGGAAAGTAAAATTGCAGTGAGATTAAAAACTGCGCTGCCGTGGTTTGGATTTTGCCTTTAATTTAAATGGAACACAATGGGAACAACCCCTTTGACTTATTGCTTTGTTGGTAGAAACCTCATAACAAGAAAGATCCTTCGGGAGAACCTTAACAATCTTAACATTACTATTTCAATCCTATTGTTATCCGGCTACTAACTGATTTCAAATGAAGCCAAATGTTTTACATTGTATTAGCCTATAATCAAAACTTTGCTCTTAAAATTTATTTTAACGAAACAAAACGCAATTCATCCACACTGGATATAAAAAGTCGACACGATTTTCCTCTTCGACGACAAACAAAAATCCATTATACGCAGAAATAACTACTAGATTTGAAGTACGTTTGTGGATCTCCCTAAATAAATAAGAAAGTTTATGTTATCCAAATTCGATTTACAACGCTTGTGCCATTTTTAATGTAAAATTGATTGTTTTTTTTAGATAAATGTTATTTATAGCATTCAGTTCTAAAGTATTTTCATGTAAACAGTCTATCGTTTTAAAGATTTTACTTTAAAAAGTGATCATCTAGGTTAAATAAAATAATTGCGCTTAATAAACAGTTTTACAAAATAACTTTTTGAATCAATTAAAAAATGCACATAATAAACAAAAGTAACTTGTAATTAAAATATAAATTCGGAAATTAACGCTCACTATCCTGGCGCCTTCACCATTTGATTCTTCTACATGGTTGCGTTGCTTAGTACGTTCTCCAAATATGTTTACGTTCATCAACTGACTTCATTTGCATGTAATCTATTTAGTAATTGCCAGTAAAGTCAGAAATGGGTAAAATTAGCAAAGCAACGGCAATATTTCGCTTTAACTTTTTGTATTTAACGATCAAGAAAGTTCCTTTAAAACATTGTATTTATATTTACTTAAAAAATAAATGTTTAATGTCTGATTCTATATTTAAAAACTTTTAGTTAAAATTTTAAGCTTTCATGAAACTACCTACCTTTTTAAGCAGGAACCGTAAATAATTGAAACCACGTAAAATGCTGGAGTTTTCTGAGCAGACGCGCCTAGTTTAGCCGCGTTAAATGATAGGAGTAATTAACACAGTTTAATTGATTATAAACCGGATTTAATGTCTATAATTAATTGTTTTTGCTAATGTTAAGATTGACCACAGATTTCAGAGCGCTGTTCTCGCACCCTCCAGCTATGCGACGATCTAATTGCAAAGAGTACCCTTATTGCTGCACTGCTTTTGGCGTAAGATTTAATTATAAAGTATGTCTTAATTAAATACTCAGAGAAATCGACGCGTGCTCTATCAACTTTACCATCCTCCGTCTAAATTTATTTGCTTTTATCAATCGTGCTCTCTAATTTGTTGCCTTTGTTGAATGATTTACAGTCAGAGCCATGGCACGCTTCATTTAGATTTAATAAACAAACCAACGAAAAGATTAATTAAACAACAATTAAATATTAAAACGAAAGGAAAGAAATAACAAAAATAAGCAAAAATGTCCGATTGATTACAAATAGTCAATTTTTAATTCCGGAAATTGAATTGTGTGATGACAAATGCACAGTAAACTTGCCAACTGAGTTCAGTGTGTTAATAAATAAGCAATTGTAGTGGTTGAAAAAGGTAATTTTTTCTCTTGTGATTTTGATTAAAACTTCAAAGCGACAAAAATAATAATGTTTTTTCCGGCTACAATGAAAAAGGGAAGTCGAATGAAGACTCGATTTAAATGAGATTTTTCGTCGAAAAATGATTTCAAATTCAATAACGCAAATCCTCATAAAGTTTCAATTTATATGAGGTTGACATTGAATAAACATGAAACCGTTTTTATTTGTACGATACCTCTATTTGAGAAACGTAAATATCTCATGTATTTTACCGAATTAAGTAAACAATTTCTTAACTGCTAACGCATATTGTAAATAATATCTCCGGAAAATCAAAATTTATTTGCTTTTAAACAAGAAGAAAGAAATGAAATTCAAACTTAAATTCTCTTATTATGGTAATATATAGTAATAACGTGATAACTTGTAAATAATACTTTTTGGTGGAAGAAATAATTTCAAACGTATTTCACATCAAACTCACGCAATAAAAAAGAATTAGTAGCATGACATCCCGAACAAATTTTGATTAAACTATCCAAGTTTCGCTCGTGCAAAAAATAATTTTTGTGTGCTAGATTTTTATCAAAAGCATACCCAAAAGTTTCGTTGAAACCGTGTACGAGAGCAATAACACTAAAACAGTGGATACTCCGAGTAGCACATCGATGCGTGTCTCAGCCATAGGGTACAGCATGAACTTCCTGCAGCATGTCGACTGACGCTGCCGTCCCGACGTTCGTTCTTTACATGAAACGGACGCTTGCGCAAAACATTATGTTTTGATTTCTTAGCGAATAACTTACACATTCATTTGGATTCGAGCAGCAGACTCGGATAATCCTCCTGCTATTATTAAAGAAAGCTCAATTGTCGGCGAATTTTTGGCGTCACTCTCCCAATTAATACAATTTAGCTATATAGCCACATAAAATCTAGATGACGATCCGAAAAATTCTCGACATTGCTCGTAAAACTATGAGTTGTTAAAGCTGAACGACTTTTAGTTTTAGCTAGAGTTGGTTAACTGCTCGTTTAATTTTCCCTCACCAACTTTAATGAATGGAATTTGTCTCTATATAATTGAGGATTAGGAAAGGAAGTTCTAGCATGCAAAATTAAACAATGCAGTCACGACAAATCTCGACGTAAGTCTAAACTAAGCTGGAGATGTACGGACAAAGCAAAGAAAAAAACTGGTGACACGAGATGAAAAGGGAATTTCAAATGGTCGAGAAAAGTTTGGTGACCTGTTGATAAAGCGCCACCTAATCGGTTTTGTTCACAACTACCGTAATTTTCTCTCCAAACAGAAAACTTTAAAGACGACCCACTTGACATACTTATTTGCTTCAAACCGAATTATTAAAAATTAGTGCATTGTTGTTATGAATATGAACAACCATACAGCGACGAAAAAAGCTTTAAAACACTATAAATTTTTAAATATCTGCAAAAATTAATGCCAGTAAAATATTTATGTAGTTTATACATAACAAATCAACATTTCATTGAATATGAAATAACTTCGAGTAATCTAAAGTTTAATTGAGAGCATGTTGTCAGATAGAAAATTCAAAGTTTTTATTGGAGACCAATCTAGTCGATTAAAAATTCTTAACAACGGTCTTCTACAATGCGGAGTGTTATCTCCACTTCTTTTCAATTTATACACGAGTGATCTTCCTCATACAACTGCTAGAAAATTTTGCTACACGGATGACATAGCTGTACCAGCATGAAGAAGAAATGGAGCGACAACTGTTTATTAAATGATTATTTTAAAAAATAGCGGTTGTGTCTAAATGAGTCAAAAACCGAAGCTTCATCTTTTCATCTTTAATTCTCAAAAAGACAAATATTTCTCTAAATAGTATTTTGTTAAAATACAATCCAAATCTTATTTATCTTAATGATACACTAAACTGTTCACTAACATACAAAAACCAGCTGGAAAAATTAAGACAAAAACTGAAAACTCGAAACAATATTTTACTTAAGTTATGGGTGGTTCTACGTGAAAAGCAAATGCGAATAGATATTCTTCGAATTTCGGCCCTTGCTTTGGTATTTTGAATAAATATTGTAGTCTTGTTTGGTTAAATAGTGCACACTCACATAAAATCGACGCCAAGTAAATACAGCTATGCGAATATCACTATCATAGAATAGTTACCTCCACCATCTCGACTAAGAAGACAACATTTCTTAAAGATGCTTTGGTTGAAATATCTGAATTATCATCAAGATTTTCCAATATGGTTGAACTTAGTTAATACTTAGTTAATAATAATCAAATCAAAATTGTTTTAATATAAACTTAATTATCGACCCGAACAAAATTGTGTCAGGAATGGATGAACCGACCCTTTGGACAAAATTGAATAGAATTAGAACTGGACATGCCCGTTGTAATTTAATGTTTTTCAAATGGAATGATGTAGATTCTCCGTCTTGTCAATGTGAAGCAACAGAACAAACTGTGAAACATCTTGTTGAAGAATATTATCTATCCCTTTTTCAAGGAGATTAGACTTATAATTTATTTTATGTTATTTTTGTAACTCTAACATGTCTTATCATACAAATATACAAATACAAAATTAATACTATTTCTGAGTAGAACGTTTAAGTTTTGACCAGAATTGCTTGACAAGTTATCTCAAAGGTTAAGGATAAAAGAAAAAAAACCTTCTCTAAGCAAAAACTTTTTCATGGTCCTAATCGGTTTTGCTTTTATTTAAGCATCATCCAAGGTTTTTTTTCCCAATTTACAAGATTTGTCAATTAATATAATCATTACAAGACATTAACATTTACAAACTGTCTTGTCTTGTATCAACAAAACGGGAGTTATTGTTTTTATTTATCTATCACAGCTGTTACATCTTGGAAAACTAGGTGGGAAGTGTACGAATTTATTATCTTACTGTTTTTACCTGGAGGGTTGTCGTTTGAGAATTAGTTACCATTACAATATCATTTTATTATGTATTAAATTTGTTTAATAATCGAAATTTTTACCTGCTTCCAGACTCTAGTCAAAGTCATCAACTACCGACATTTATATTACGTAATTGTTGGAAGCTAAGTTTGAGACTACCACGTAAGAAACCCAACATTTTTTTCTGGGAAAAGGTTTTAAATAAGACTATGCTTAAAACCGGCTTTATTTTGGTAGACACAAAATTTCCTAAAAACTTACAATTTTTCATTTTAACGCCAAGACGATAACATTAAAAATCCGGAATTTCGCCGAACCCTAGTTTGATCCTTGATTTTTTTCCAAAAACTATCCTAAATCGGTTCACTTTGCTCCCTACAATAGCCTTGCACCAACACGAGCAGGATCAGACTCCTCGAAATTTTTGCATTTTTCTATGAGATACTTTTTCTCGAACTTCAATAACATTAAGTTATTCGCTTATAGAGTTCCATATTTGAAAATTTGGGATACTGAACATCAAACCGAGCCAACTTTGTATCGACAGATCAAGATAATTTGTAATTGAGTCATCTTTGGCTCCGAAAACGTATTCTGTGAAACGTCAAATAAAAAGACAAGCATGATTAAAAAGATGATGATTTTAATAACTAAATTTATGATTTACCTTCAAAAATAAACGGTCTTGTTATTATACGTCGGCGATTAATTCTAGCCCATTTTGCCATTTTACTTTTCGTTATCTTGATCTCTCGATATTATGTGGATAAGGTATATACAGAGTGTCAATTTTAAAACTTGCAATCGCCAATATCTCTAGAACTAAAAAGTTATTGAGAATCACTTTCGGTAGTTTTTAAGGGGAATCAAAATGGCATGGTAAGTGACGCTCCTCCACCCACCCTTCAAGCCACAGCTACCTTAAGTTGAAAATTTTAAATGGCACGACCCTACTTGCGATAGATCGTTGGAAAGCCCATAACAAGCGCTTTTCAAAAATGCCATACAACAGTTATTTTTCCAATTATTCAAAAACGAAGACGTTAAATTTTCATTTTTTTTTACTATATTCAAGGTTGGGTGGAGGTGTGTCATGTCATTTTAATTCCCCCTAGGAAACATCAAACGGGTTTGAGTGATTATTAATAACTTTTTCAGTTGAGAGAAATTGCCGATTGCAAGTTTTAAAATTGACACAGTGTATAAACTCCCGACATGTCAAAATGACGTTAAGTTAGTTAAACAAAAAGTCACTGTGGCTATGTTGGTGACCACTTCACTCAAGGTTTAACAACCTGGTCGCTATCACTTGATTTGAAATTATTTAATTATTATCGTTTGACGCATGTGCCGTGTACCATGGAAATTTGACTTCAAGTACAGTCAGATGAAATAATAGTCATCTGTGTCGTTTAAGATACACACAAAAATTTTGGTTTGAGATTGTAAACGTCACGGGAGTTTTGTGAATACATAATAAAGTCTGATTTTGATTTAAATGGAAATCACCAAATCAAAATTTTGGTGAAAAAATTGGTAGCAACTTATCTCCATAGCCACAAATTTTGTTTGCTTTTTGTTTTTGTCCCTACAAAATTTATTAAAAAACTATGGTTATTTTTCATGTTGAGGGAACCAAAAAGTAAATTTATTTTTTGTGGTTTGCATGGTTGAATTAATTCATTGTATTTTTAATATTTTTATATTTTTAATTCTGTCTCTGTTGCACACTACAGCTCAGTATAAAAAAAAGGAAAATAACAGTGCTCTCATCTTTTAAATATAACATTTACAAGACAAAACTAGAAATGTTACTGAATTTAATTACAATGTTCTGCAATGTTCGTCTTTTAAGCCGAACAAAAATTCGTCGAATTCCGACAAAAAATAACAAAAATATTCTAATATATGAAAAATCGTAAAATTTTAGTTGTCCGGTTAATTTTGGCGGCCACTGTAAAATATATTTTCCAAGAAAATTTATGTCAAACAAATTTTATGCTCAATTGCTAAAGTTTCTGATATTTTAATATTCATTCTGCTAGAATTTCATGTTTCCATTGTAAGCTTTGCCTAAAATAAAAATAAAAATTCAATTATTCTTTCTAGTTGTTTGAAAGTTTCTCGATATGGTTGGTTCTGTACCAATGTAAATTTCGTTAAATTAAAGGAAACTTATTAAAGTAAAGAAAGTGAACTTGCTTTAACTTTAGTTTACCATTCAGAAAACTTTGTATCATGCACAAAAACAAAAATTCATAATTATGTAATTTCAATAAATATCTTAAACAATCAATATTATATTTTTTTCCGGACGTGTTCTCACACTGAGCTCAACAGGTACACGTCGAGCTATAATTTATGACAAACTTTTTTAAAAAATCTGCCGTTGAAGCACGTCCACAAATCATCCGAAATAACAAATACGAAGTATTTCCTTGTGACATTTCTCCCCCAACGGCTTATGAATAATACTCAGCATCTTACATCATTGTTTGTAGATATTTGCTGTGAAGACTCAAGATGGGTTGTCCTTTTGTTATTAATTTAATTATTCAGGATAGTCCTAAATCACACCGACCCTCATTGTTCTAACAACAATACTCTGTAAATTTATACAGAAATTTTCTTGCATTATTTTTGTAATGCACTCAAACTTAATCAAGTTTGTTCAACGACTTTAGTAGGAAACATAAATAGCAGCTATGACATCTTTAAATGACAGTCTACATATCGTCGCCGATGCAAATGATATTTTAATGAGTTC